TAGTGAATACGATACTGACAATATGAAATACTTAACTTTGGTTAGAAGGGTATGCCTCCTCCTGGCATTCATACAGCGCATTTTCAATGTACGCGTCTTCCTAACTTTACCTAACCTAGTCTAAGTGTCATTTAAAAGGTTTAATAAATATTTAGAAAACCTGAAACCACGGCCGACTTTATATAAATGTACTTCAGCCGTTTCAAGTTTACAACATACAACAATACAACACCTACCACACCGCTGTGAATACCCAAAATGTATATTCGTTTATACAAATGCCAACCGACGTGCGATGTAGCCAGTCGGACGTCAGTTGAGTCAGCGAGGCAGTAAAGAGTTCAAATTGTGGGCAAAGTTGCTGACATAAATGAAAGTTGAAAGGTGTGTCCTCCTTATCAAATACATTTTCCTAATTGTATTGTGTAGGCATGTTTAAGCAGATTTTCATTTTTCCACCCTTAAAAAAGTTAAGCGAATTATGTAGGTGGTTGCAAGTTTGACATACAATAAAAAAGGGCTGACACTTCCTACATTTTACTCATTCAGAAGATAGTCGCTTTTACTTGTATATTCAACAGCTAATTGGCAAGCCGATGGGTTATTATGAATTAAGAAAGTTCATAGCTTGAAGGTTGCATTTGAAAAACAACTGCAGCCTCAAAGGAAATTAACTCGGAAGTAGCAACGTCGAAGGAATCCAAAATGTATTGCTCATCTTGGAGAACATTAATTTCAAGTATCTATTCAACTGCAATCATTTACACTTTCAAATAAATAACAGTGACGACATTGTGCGCTCGGTTCAAAAAGTACCCTGATGGAAACAAGTGATTTTTTTTTTTTAAATCAACTAATTGAAAGACTACTTTAAAACAAATGCAATGAGAAACGGTTTCGAGTTTTTACACTCTTTTTACTCAAAAAAACAAAAAAACAATTTGTGTCTTGGANTTTTTTTTTTAAATCAACTAATTGAAAGACTACTTTAAAACAAATGCAATGAGAAACGGTTTCGAGTTTTTACACTCTTTTTACTCAAAAAAACAAAAAAACAATTTGTGTCTTGGAAGTATGAAAAAGCATCTGTGAAGTGCAGAACGAAAGCGTATGCAAAATAAATATACTGACTTTGAAGTTGTTTCAACCAAATTCATTATAAGGTAGTTGAAAATATATGCAGGAAAAGGCAATTGACTGCTTCCTAGAACATCGCCATGTTAAATAAATGAGTTCGTTGTAGGTAAAGTAGTGAGAATTTCAATTAGTTATCATTGAAAATAAAGTAGTTTATAAATTACTTTCAAACTAATTAAATTTCCGTTCAGTGCCTCGGAGTCGTTTGAACGGTTCTGCGACTCAAAATCTAACATTAAAGTAGGGCTTACGGGGATTCAAATTTTTGCTTGACACTCGCTTCCCTCTTCAGTTCCCTATAACGCATCGCGTTTCGGCTGATCGCAACGTATCCCTGTAGACGGGATCTCTTTATCTGCAGCTTCTTGACCCTCCACGTCCAATCAGTGGTTTTTTCGGACTCGCCGAAATCCGACTACTTCTTCGGCGGCTGTACTTAATGAGTGAGAAATGTGGTTCTGCTCGCTAATGTCGGTTTGTTGAAGAGTGCTCTTAGAGAGCAGGAATGAGAGTCGAGTGGTGAATAGTTTGGCTGTCTGTTGTGTTTGCAGCATTTCGACGTTAAGCTTTCCTTGCATTGTTGGGCTCACATTTTTTACAGCACAGAGGCGCCCGCCTCTGCACCAAGAAAGTGGGCCATGCCGATATTTGGGGCCCTCGGAATGTACGTTCGTCTAAAACAATGGAAGCATGCCTACCGTCTATCACAACGTAGTCGGTTTTGTTTCCCATTTTTCGATCTGGAGGCAGCCCTTTAGCTTGATGGGTCTTTTTATGCTGGAACATAGTACTACGTAATACCATTTTTCGTACTCCGGAGAAGTCAAACTGCCCCAGTCCGTTATCGGACGCATCGTCGTGGAGGCGGAATTTTCCAACAGTGACATTAAAGACCCCTTCCTTGCCCACTTTTCCACTTAAATCGACAGGCAAAATTTGTATGTCATGTCGCGAGCAGCGTTCATAGAAGAGATCCTTGAACGTCTCGTCCTTCTCTTTCGTCGGGGCTTGGGCACAGATGAGCGATATGTTGAAGAATCTCGCTTTTTTCCACCAAAGTAATCAAGAAAATTACTTGATTTGTTTGCTAAAATCAAACATCAATATGTATAATAGTATAAAATTTACAGGCTTGCGCACACATGTTTGAATTTAAGCTAATATAAAACACGTACTGCAGTTTGACCTTGCTCAAGTTTCGGTTTTGCGATTTACATGGGTGGGCTTCCGTTCAAGCATTCAATTGTTTTGTAAACTTTTTCTCGTAGCTTTGCCAATTCTGTCATTCCACTAAATTTACGATGTATACGCTAGAAGGCGCTTAAAAAAATCAACCGGATCAACAACGAAGCAAAAACATACATTTCGTTAAAAGTAACTGCTTGACGTAGGTGGAAAACCGCAAAAAGACAGGCGCATTAAATTACACCTACAGCAGGTGGCAATTGTTTGTGTTCTTGTTCTAAAAATAGGTATTTTTTTTTCTCTTTTTGGCGCGGTAAATTTTTAGAAAATATACGCGATAAAACGCATAGTATTATATAGGGTGTACACTGTACATTCTTATGTTAATTTACAAACATTTGTATAGACAACTACGTCTTGCGAACTTCATCATAAACATTGTTGTTGTAAATCGCACTGCTTATTCAATGTACCGCTTAATCAATCGAAACAAAACCCAAAATACATAATTACATATGTATGTACGTATATAGAATAATTTTTCTTTTCTTTTTACAGATAAATACTCCCGCACCATTTCCGAAGACGCTAAGGAAAATGAAATTGAAATCAATCTTCTAGGCACATGCACTCACATATACAGTCATAAACGCCAGTCTAGCTACACAAAATGTTTTCCCACGCACTTTTGCGCCCACAATTGGCCACAGTTGCCATCGCCACCGGTGCATTAGCCGGTACTGCAACAACGGACGAAATGCTGCTGCTCGATGAGGATATCCTCATAACACAGGCGTACTACGGCAATTCGCCGCTCTTTGCCTTTGATTCATCGTCGCTGGTGGATTTTCAACAGTTGCTACAGAGTGACGCATTCAAGCAGAATATGTCACTGACACTTAATATCTCGACGGAAAATCTGACAGATCTGTTAAATACGGCGCAACTGAATCAAACTTTAGAGCTACCACAGCAACAGCTTACCATGTCCGTATTAATAACGCTCACCATTTTCTATGCAATCATTTTTGTTGCGGGCGTGCTGGGCAACCTTATCACATGCATCGTTATATCGCGAAATAAGTTTATGCATACAGCGACAAATTTCTATTTATTCAACTTGGCTGTTTCCGATTTGATGTTGCTGCTGTCAGGTGAGTTTTGATAGAGACTAGTTTATAACTAATCTATAAACATGTATGCATGTAAACTGTTCAAAATAATTATGCGTACAGTGATTTCTTTACAATATTCGTATGGGTTTTCATAATGATTTTTTTTGTTAATTTTTCGCAAAAATATACTAGTTCATATTCTAACAAAAAATTTTACAAAACTTAAAAAAGTTAGCAAATTTTCATTAAAATATAAACATTTTTATTCGGAATTTTCAAAAAAAAAAATTTGAGTATGCAATTTTTTAGCTCATTTAATTTCAGTATATTTTTTCCTTTTTTCTCAATAATTTTAAGTTTTTGTAAAATTGCATTTACACTCATTTTCATTAATATAGGAAAATACAATGTTATTTTGGCTTATTCGCATAATAATAAATAATAAATTTACTGTTAGCTAAACTTAATTTTATTATTAATGCCATATGGCATAAAATAATAGATAAAATAGCTTTACAAAAGGTTTATAAATTGAAAAATGTATAAAACCGTCATTTTACAAACCGGTTTCGGCGTTGTGCCATCTTCAGTGTCACGAAGCGAAAAATGACACGGCACAATGCCGAGACCGGTATGACGGAAAATCGTTCCACAATACATCAGTTTGACAAAAGCCTATTCAGCAAAGTTACTGTGAAGGATATGAATCATAAAAGCTTATAACAAAATATTAACGACATTATTTTGTGTAGATACAGATATACAGTGACTCAAACAACTGAACACGTTGAGATTTTTTTTTTAATATTAGTAATGTTTTTTGAGCTAATTTTCTATAAAACTACCATCCAACGAAAATTCAACAAGTTTTTATAAAAATCTCTACTTTTTAATATGAATCTTTAGAAGATTTTTGGGAATGCATGTAGCACATACAATTTTAGTCTAATAAAGTACAAGTTTCAACTGGCTAAAAAAATTGCGTTGATTTTTGAGATTTATTTATATTTTGATATTGCTTTTGATAAAAATTTGTAGAATTTTCCTAAATTTTTTGTAAAGTTTGAAACTGAGATTTATATGGTGTTCTTTAAATCTTGGATAAATTTTTATAGAAAAATTACAAAAAAATTTAACTCGAAAAACATTACGAATATTTAAAAACAAAAATCAATACGTTTTTTGAGTCACTGTATCTATTTGCAAGGGGGCCGGATTATATACAGCCGAGTCTATGGCTGCTGAAAATGCTTTCCAAACAAGTGTTTACGTGGCACATAAATTAAAATAAATAAAATATCCGACGAATTGATAACCTCTTAGTTTTTTTTTTTTAGTTGGTTAAAAAGAAATTTTAAAGCTACATTAAAGATACCATTAAATATTGATATGTATGTAAATATTTATTTTTACTTTCGTAACATTTATTTTATTCTCATTTACAGGCGCACCGCAAGACGTTTACAGTTATTGGTATCCGAATGCCTTTCCATTTGGGGATGTGATATGTATATTGGGAAGCGTTTTAGCGGAAACCGCCACAAATGCAACGGTATTGACAATCACAGCATTTACCGTTGAACGATACATAGCGATATGTCATCCATTTCGGTGAGTGCGAGTTGGAAGGCATCTGTTTTCTTTTTATTTTATTTTTTTTTTTAAACATTGAGCTGACACTTTAATTTCACTTTAATTTAATGCATTTCTACAATCATTTTAATGTGTTTTTTGTTTAATTGAGTTGGGTTTACTTAAGCAAATGTGACGACAAGCAGAACGAGATGTAAAAGAAGCAGCAGGCGACAGCGCAACAAAAAAAAATCTCTTTTAATTTTGACTGAGTATTTATTTTTTTCTGCATTGCTCTACCTTCGTTTGGACTATTCAACTTCAACTGACAACTTAAGCGATTAATTGTTGCGATACGGCTGCCCTTTTTTTAGGGCACGCTGTCAGTTACGCTTTCAAGATTTTCACTTTAATTTTCATACACACACATATATTTTTATGCTTACTACAAAATTTTTTTCGTTTGTTTGTTTGTTTGCTTAATGGTAGTAAATACTCTACACCAGTCAATTTTGTGAAGTGAATTTTTTCCCTTTTTATCGCCTAATTGCAGACAGCACACCATGTCCAAGC